CTCGGCACGTGCGCGAGCCCGAGCGCAGAGTTGGGCGTGCCTAACGAATGCGAGATAAGAACTTGGCCTAGTGGTGATGCAGATGGCCACTCACCCCCCAGATATGCGAAGATATCGATATCTTCGTCTATGTGGGGATCCTCGCTGAAGATCCTAGATGGGCTAGTTGATGGGGATGACCTCGACAAGGTCGACGCACGAGAAGACGCCGTGCTGGCGTAGGTCATGGATGGCGTGGGGGAGGTCAATGGTGCAGTGTAAGTCGACACACCAGATGCAGATGACCATTGACTATCGTTCGGGAATAGCTTCGAGGGGTCGCTCGAAGGACGAAAGGCAGCGACATCGATATACGGTTGAGGATGCGCTATCTCCTCCGATGTCCAGGGCTGGCCGTAGAACTGGCCGGGCGAGGTGACAGATGGCGGCGATGCCATCGGCATGTACATGGGGTACGGCACCCCTATTGTTGGTAGGAACTGTTTCGGAGTGTTAATGGAGATATTGAACAAGACCTGGGCTGACATACCTGATCCCACTCCTGACAGCTTTGCTCATAGGCGGGGCGAGAGTAGGATAGTTGCGAGAGGGGGAGATTCGGTGGCGTCGGTGGCGAAAGATATGGGAAAGCGGGAGGCGACCCATACAGTTGGGAGTCGTCGAGGTATGCGAAGAGTTGGGAGTTCTGTTGGTAAGACATGGTTGCGCGATGCGTGCTGGATGGTACACAATGTAGGGGGAAATGCTCATGTTGCTCGCTTTATGACCAGGAAAACGAGTTCGTAGGCGCTCGGTAAGCGCTCACGTCGTCGGAGCAAGTGCCTTCCATTATCACGCTTAGGACCCCACGCACAGCCAGATCAGCGATATGTGAGCTTCTTTCGAGTCAAGAAACTCCGACAGCTGATAAATGCAGACAAAATTGGACAGAATAGGCTGGTTGCCATGCAGTGGGCCTGTTATTGTGGCGGCGCGGAGAACAAGACAAGCCGTAAACGGTGTTTCTCTCCCAGGAAACAGCTCTAGGACCCTTCCTCTCGTGTCGTGATGCTGTGTTCTGCGTATGCGGCTCAGCTTCTGAGGCCCAAGCTTGCCGATGTCATTACGCGGAGCAGGCATTGCACTGATGCTCGTACCTTTTAACAGACCGCCCATCCCACTGATCCACGCGGAAATAGCTGAGAATTCTGACATGGACCGTCCAGCTTGATCCGCTAGACCCCGCTCGCTCCCAGCACGAGGTGTGTGGTGGCACTGCTTAGGCCTGCGTCCGGTCTGCTGGCGTGTAAGTGCCGACTAGATTGACCGAGGGCCCTCACTGCCTGCGTCGTTCAAGGGTGCATACAGATTTGGATAGGTGGGTTGCTCTGCTTGTCACGTTCTCCCCGAGATGCAGTCACTTAACCGAGGGCAGCCCAAGTTGATCGAAGGCACTGGTACCCTTGAAGGAGGCGTATTATGTAAACTGAATACACGTCTTCTGTATCTGTTGTCATTCTGGATCCGATATTCTGAGAGATACAACGCTCTGGCCGCATTTGTTCGCAATTCAGACAAGGCTTGGATTGTCTGCCGCTCCCTGCGAAAGTCGTGCTACTATAGTATCCGCTCGCATCGAGGGATGCTCTGGCTGCTTGCCTATCGTCCTCGAGCACGTTTTGGCGCACATGAGACCTGATGGGCAAGATGCAGGAGCTTTCCTAGCCTGGTGGCAATGTGATTGATGTTGCCCATGGTGCGCGCATCGACGACCTCGATATAGCGACCCTGGTGGTAGTGGTTGAGATTCGCACTAGGAACTCGGGTATACCCCTAAGTATTCGCATTCATTCAAAATCAGGGGCGTGCCTGACGGTCGTCAACTTCTCACGTCTGGGTAGATTTGACACACTCTGACGACCCATGCAATTGCACGTCGGTCGCTAACGTGAAAATCCTGCGCCATCAAGAGGCATTCTCGGTCTCATTCTGTTAAGGGGTATGTATACACAAATTGTATCAAGCTTCATAGACCCGGCTTACTACATCTTTCGAGATGTCGCATCATGAAGGAGGCTAGTCGAAGACTTTCACCACCCTACAACGACATGTTAAATCATACTGCGCTATGTGAGTTCAAGTGCCACACATACAGTTTACCCTCGTTCTCTCCGCGGAAGAGTATTCCAAGTGATCCAGGTGCGGTATCCAAGCCGTTAAGAATGTGGTATCGCTGTTTGATAGCTCCCTTCGTAATGAGCTCAGTGAGGTACTTGTGGCCTTCCTCAATGTTGGAACAACCGGTGTGACGGCGCGGCGAGCGCGTTTGTCCACGAGCTAGCGATGCCCGTAAGGGACAATCGCGTGCGGTACGTACATCGCGCGGGGTCGTTATATACTATGATAGGGGCCTCCGGCCCCCGGCTACTCGCGCGCCCGAGCTCGCGAGCTCATTCCTGACCGCGCGGGTCAGCGCGTTTCAACACTCAAGGCGAGCAGTATAGTCATATCTGGTATGGGTGTAAGTTGTCGGACGCGTGAGCAGATGATAAAACAACTCACAAGCTGGACCCTCGCATCGTAGCGTGTTTGCTTAGTAATTGGAAATAGTTCCGCAGGGGATACTGCTCTGCCGTATCTAAGCCAGCTTCATGAGATGTATTTCTAGACACAAGGTTACATAGACTCACTGTACTGGGAGACGCCTCCTGTGGGACATGAACATCGTGTCAGCCAAAGCGCATAAGATACATGTCGAGTATCGTACCGCAAATAATGATGTGGGCATGCAAGTTCATGCTCGCCAACGCCAGGTCAAGAGCCTCGCCGCCTACGATGCCATAGAATATGTCTAGCGTCCCTACTGCCTTAGAGAAGTCATCCTTGAACTGCCCAGCTCTTGCTCGAGCCATTCACACTTCTTCGTGGACCCGGATATGCCAATCACCTTCGCTCCACGCTCTTTGCCAAGTTGACATACAATGGAGCCAGTGACGATCGCGCACGGCGCGCAATGCGCGACATGGGTGTAGCCTCGTATGAGGTTTGGACAAGGTGGATGATGGCCGCATGCGTTTCCCGTCCTTCAGTGCACTTCGCGGCTCGCTGCTATGACGTCTGTTGCTTGCGAAACTCGATTCAGACTACTCTTGTTCTGTCGCGATGTTGTCCGAGCATTGGGTCAATGTTTTGCCATCTTGCTCTTCGTGAGCAGCCTCATCTGTAGCAGAAGCTATTTGGTGGTCCAGTTGTGCCATGTACGTACATATGATGACATTCTGCGAGACTTGCGCAGCACATGAAGTCCCTGAATTTGTCAGCTTGCGCAGGCACTGGAAGTAAGGTATAAGAGTGCCAAATCCTAGGGTCTGAATGCGTCTACGGGGTTGTGCTTTGTGTTCATCGCGATATAGCATGATGGTGCGAGACTTGGTAAGTTCTATAATAAACGCAATGGTGTACAGCATGCCTGCATTCTGCAAAATAGATATTTGCACCTTCGCAGCAATTTCTAAATAGCGCCACAAACTGTAAAAGACGCGCACCTATATCGACGGCGCTCGATTGAATGTACCATCGACTGCCAACTGTTCTGCGTAATAGGTCATGAACGGTCATGCCTGCGCGACGAAGGGAGCAACATCTAGTTGGCGCGGCCAAAATCTGCCGCTTGCTATATGGACAACATATACAACCAGGCGTGTATGGCCTTACAGGTGTATGTCAATAAGAGACGACCGTAGACAACTTCCGATGAGACAAGGAAGATCGGTTGAATTCAATTTGGCCGCATCGAAATCGAGTGTGTACTTCATTTGCCGGAGGCACACATCACTGTTCATAGCTGGGACGATATACAGAGGTACCAAATATCTCATGATCACTCGATCCTAGTGCTGTGCTAACGCAAATTTTGTTGAGTAGTTGGTACTGAGACAGTTTGCGACACATATCCAAGACCAATTCGCATTCCTTCACGGTATGATAACGGCACGGAAGCGCGCCGTGCTGCGGTGGTTGTACGCCTCTTCAGCCTTCTCGAGCGGGAACTTCTGCACCATCGTCCTGATGCCGTGCACCTTCGCGAACTTGACGCAGTCCTCGCTGTCTGGCGCGACGCCGCTCGGCCAGCCGCGGACCGACAACCGCTTTGTGACGAGCGCACCAAGGTTTATCGGGGCCTCGCCTGTCAGCACGACGACGCACAGCTCACCGCCGACGGCAAGCCCCGGGAGCAGCGTGTGGATGACGTCCGCGTTCGGCGCGGTGCACATGATGAGCTTCGCCCCGCCGAGCTCCTGCAGGGCCTCCGCCTGGTCGACCTTGGAGCCGTCAACATACACCTCAGCGCCGAGCGTCTTCGAGAGCTCCTCCTTCGCGTCCGAGGAAGAGAGGGCGATGGGGCGGTATCCCATGGCCTTGGCGAACTGGATGCCTAGGTGGCCGAGACCGCTTTGAGAAGAATTAGCGGCCTGAGCAAAAAAGGGAGAAGACATGTATGTACCCAATGCCCTGGATTGCGACGTAGTCCGGCGGCCTGGCAGACATGTTGCGCAAGCCGTCTAGAAGGATGGATAAGCACGATAGCTTCTTGAGTACGTCCTCGATACGTACTGAACATGGTGACACCTGCGCAGAAAAGAGGTGCGACTTCTGCAGGGTCCATGCCATCGGGCACCGCACAGACAGCCTCCGTCCTGAGCGTCACGCATCAGGAAAGTAGGGATTTTCTAAGTGACTGAGCGCACTGAGGAAAGCGTCTCAGTCGTCTCAGTCATCTCAGTCGGTCACACAAGCCCAGTGTGCCAGCAGGAGCCCGGGATAAAGCGATTGCCAAAATGAGGGATCGAACCCCCGCACCCAAACAACTCCGATCATCAAACCGCTTTCGTACCACACTGCAACCACTTTACCAAGAGCACATATTTGAAGGAATACATTTCTCTCCCTATATACGTTTATGCGCCTTAAGCCAGTTGTAGTATCTCAAGTGACTGGTATCTCGCAAGCGCCTCGCCTTCTCCATTACCACCATCTGATCCGCTGTCGCCAAGTCCCATACCCACGTCACTTTGATCAATGACTTGTGCGAACACTCAAAGTCAGCCTCACAGCAGCAGATTTATTGGCCAGGAAAGCTTACGGGATGTAGATGGTGAGTCGGACAACTTGGAAATCCAAGGGCATAGTAGTATGGCGGTAAGTACTCAACAATTTAATCAGCTGGACTCGTCGTCACTAATAACAGGTCAAACATAAGTTCTTGCTGTGGTGCTCAGGCCAATTTTTGACCTGGATGTTGATTTCATGAGGATACGGTCGACGCAATTACCTTGTGATGGGGACCTGGCACTGTATGTATTGTTTCAAGCTTGTTGTGCTGGGCACGCTACGTGATGTCGACCATGAGGCACGGCGAGAGGGATGTAGGAGGCTTGCGCACAAAGGATTAGTGCATTCCGTGTATGATACACCTAGCAGTGAGTCGGAGGATGGAGATTGATCATCTACAGACAGTATTTTATTTCCATAGCATAGAATTTGCGCTGTGTTCCATTTCTGTCACTTTATAGATTAAATTGCTGATGTTTACAATGTAATTTGCTATTCCTGAGATGCACTGAGATGACTGAGGCCGGCTGAGGCTGCTAAGACAAATTGACTGACGAAAATAAAGAGCATAAAATTCAGGTTCTAATAGACTAACAGACTAAGGCGAACTAAGGCGAACTAATTGACCATAAGCCTTCTGACGGCACTGAAACGGCTGATCTCAGTCCGTTAGGCAATTTCCGGTTTTCCTGATGCGTACTGAGCGTACCCTCCGTGACGCAGGATTCCTAATGGTGAAGTGTCAGCAGCCGGTATACAGGAAGCCGGTAGCGGTCTCACCGTTAACATCTTGCTTTTCGCACATCATGTAGTCACCGACACGGCAGGTGGCACAGAGGTGGCAGTGACCGCCATGCCAGCCGCTGCCGACGACCTGGCCTAGCTTCCACTTCGATTCGGTGGACGGGATAGCCGCGACTTCGCCGACGATCTCATGACCGGGAACAATAGGGTATTTCACCGCAGGCCACTCCTGGTGCTTCGCAGCCTCGTCATTGCAGATGCTGGTGTTAGTATGTAGGCACTAAACTTGGCGTGCGGCTGACGTACCTGGTGCACACACCACACGCGAGGACCTTCACGACAATCTCCCCAGGCTGTGGGTCCTTCCAGTTGAAGGTAATGGGCTCAAGTGGACCACCTTTCTTGGTGATATTGAAGGCTATGGATATTGTACCTCAGTCCGTTGCTGTCACGACTTAGGGTCAAGCGACAGGGGAAAAACCTAACAAGAACGCTGGGGGCGTTCGACTGGGTCTTACCGAAGCGATGGTGAGCAAGGCTCAAACCTAAGGCTAGGGACAAGATAACATATATTAGTGAGGTAATAAAAGGAATACAAAGGATGCTTACTGACCTAGGGACAAGAGGTCGAAACTGAGGTCCCTAGGGCAGCAAAGGCCGGCTTCTATACAAGGGAAGATGAGGGCAGGCTGTGCGTGCTGGTCCATGCGTAGCTGGCCCGTGCGCAGCATGCTGACGCAGCCCTGGGGGCCAGTGAGTCAGAGCGGCTGTGTCAGCAGAGCCCAAGCTGTGCCGCGCACTGCCGTCCCATCTAATCTAATCATACAGTAGATAAGGACTTGTCCGTTCGAGCATGTAGTACAGAGGTCGCGGGTTCGAGCCCGCGGAAAGGAAAAAATTAAAAAACGGCTAGACGCCGTACCAACTCGTGACATTACCCCCCCCCCTCAACGGCGCATGACCTCATGCGAGGCCCCCCGGCCCATCTCCCACCCGGAGCGGCAGTGTGCTTCTGTCAGTGGCAAAGGCATTGGCTGAAAGTTGAGACCACCAAAGACGGCAGTGTTGAGGCGTTGTGGGGCATTCGGGTTCTTCCGGTGGAAGTCGGCTATGAGGGCCGGCGCATTGGCGACATTGCGCGCTGGTTCCCATGATGTATGCGAGTCGTCATAACCCTTCCACTTGACGAGGTACTGTAGTTGACGCCGGAAGATCCTCGAATCCTTAATCCGTTCAACCTTATACTCCTCGTCACCCTCAACCTCGATCACAGGTGGCTCCTCTGGCTCCCGGCCCGGGATATCGCTGCGTGTGTACTTGCTAAGCAAGGAGACATGGAACACCGGGTGCACTGGCACCGACTTCGGCAGAACCAATTCATAATCTAAGTCTCCGAGCTTTTGCCGCATGGCATAGGGCCCAAGGCGCTTGGGACTGAGCTTCTTGCTCAGCTGTTTCAGCTTAAGGTTCCGAGCATCAAGCCAGACCTTGTCCCCCGGCGCAAAGACCGGTGCCTCCTGCACATGTTTGTCATAGTACACTTTCATCCGCTCAGCTGATAGCTCCAGTGCGGAGCGCGCATCATCCCTGATCTCCTTCAGGATCTTAAGCCGATCAGCAGCTGCGGGCATCGCAGACATCGGATTGATCCACACTTGGATCTCAGGATGGTACCCCTGATGCAGGAAGAAGGGGGAGTGTCTTCTTGTGGAGTGAACTCGGTTGTTCAGTGCAAACTCTGCAAGCGGTAACTGCTTCACCTAATCATCCTGCCTGTGGCTTGTGAAGGCACGCAGGTACTGCTCGATCTCCTGATTCCAGTGCTCGGTCTGGCCATTGGTCTGAGGATGGAATGCTGTGGACAGTGCCGGCTCAATCCCCAGACCCTTGTACACCGCATGAAGGTACTTCAATGCGGATTGGGGACCTTGGTCTGATATGACCTTGGCCGGGGCCCCATGATGTTTGAACACGTTGCGGATATACAGGTCTGCTGCACCTTCTGCCATCAGGGTCTCATGACAGGCCGAGAAGTGGACCTGCTTGGTAAAGCGGTCGGTGGTGACCAGGATCGAGTCGAATCCATCAGATTTTGGCAAGCCGACGATCATATCGGTCGTGATGATCTGCCACGGGTGCTCAGGGATCTCGTTCGGCTTCAGCGGACCCTGGGGCTTGGCAGGGAATGTCTTGGTACGGTTGCACACGTCGCAGGTGCTTATGTACTTATTGACAAATTTGGACATCCCAGGCCACCAGTAGTTCTGCGACACGAGCTCAAGGGTTTTGGCATGACCACCATGTCTGGCGATCGGCGAGTCGTGGTGGATCTTGACTATATCCCGCCGGAGCTCCGCATTCTTGGGGACGTAGACCATCCCGCGGAACAACAGAAGCCCTTGCTTGGCATTCCACTCCTCAAAGCCCTTTCGTAGCTGGGGCGGCCTGAGGTTCTGCACCTTTTCCAGTGTCTCAGCCACTGCCCGATCCTTCTCCGAACACTCCCGGATGCATTTCAGGAGCGACTGATCGGCTGTCACCGAAGCATGCCCACGCTGGGTGGCAGCAATGCAGAAGTGTTCCTGTTTGAGGACCACCTGATTGGTGTTACCATCCTCATTGCCGACCTGATGGTCTGATTGGCGTGACAGGGCATCAGCCTTTCCATTAGATGTTCCGGCTTTATGCGTGATGCAGAAGTCAAAGCATGCCAGGAACAGTGACCATCGCGCTTGACGACACATGAGGTGCTGTGACGTGCGCCAGTACTTGAGGTTCTTGTGATCAGTGACGATCTCGAACTGATTGGGTAGTCCCTCGAGATAGTGGCGCCAATCGTCCAGTGCTTCAATGATCACTAGCATCTCCTTATTGTAGATCTTGTAGTTACGCTGGACAGAGTCCATAGCGTGAGATTGGAAGGTGATCAGATGCCATTTGCCATCATCCTGCTTCTGCATCAGAACACCACCAGTGGCATACCCAGAAGCATCAACTTCAATGTGCATCTCTCGATTGGGATCATACAACACCAAGACCGGTGTCGTAGCGAAGAGCCATTTGAGCTCATCAAAGGCGTGCTGCTCCTCTTCACCCCAATGCCATGGGTCATTCCCTGTGAGCTGGTTGAGTGGTTGTGAGATCTTAGCGAAGTCCTTAATGAAGCGGCGGTAGAAGTTGGAGAACCCCCAGAACTTCTGAATGTCTTTTTTGTTCCGGGGTACTGGCCACTCATTAATTCCTTTCAGCTTTGCAGGATCCATCACTACCTCATCGCCACCGAACACATAGCCAATGTAGTCAACCTCAGGAACATCCCATTCGCACTTCTCAGGCTTCAGGAACAGATCGTTGTCCCGAACGCGGTGAAGGACCTCGCGCGTGACCTTCTCATGCTCCTCCTTATTGGTGGAGAAGACGAGTATATCATCCAGGTACACGAGGACCTTTCCGTCGACGATGAGATCATGGAAGATATCATTCATCATCGCCTGGAAGGTGGCGGGGGAATTGGTGAGGCCGAAGAATATTACCAGGGGTTCATACAGTCCCCGGTTAGTCACAAAGGCCGCCTTCCATTCGTCACCGGCCTTGATCCGGATATTGTTATATCCCCATCTAACATCAAACTTGGTGAAGAGCGTAGCACCGTGGAGCTTATCCACCATTTCGGCGATCAGCGGCAAAGGATAGCGATTCTTAACTGTGATCGCATTCAACCGGCAGTAGTCCTGCACGGGTCGAAGCGTCCCTTCCTTCTTTTTGATGAAGAAAAAGGGGGATGAGATTGGCGACTTCAATTCCCTTATGTAACCCTTCGCCAACTGCTCCTTTAGGAACTTGTCAAGTTCCTCCTGCTTGTTGTTCGACAAGGGATACACCTTCGAATGGAACATTGAGTAGCCAGGCACGAGTTCAATTGCATGATCATATGACTTCCTTTCGGGTAGCTGTTCTGATGCTTCTTTGGAGAAGACTTTCAGAAACTTGTGGTACTGTTTTGGTACCAACTCTTTGGTGGGTTTGATGACCTTCTTCTTGATCTCTTCCTCAGCAAACAGTTGAGAATATGTATGTCCTGCTGTGATGAACAGCTGGGGAGCACCTGGAAACATGACACCCTGCTCCCAGGCTTCGATCAAGTCAGCTTCTTCCCACTCTACTTCTACTGGATCTTCTTCGGGTTCGAAGTCTGGGAGTACCTTACTCCGGCAAGCACTCATAACCAACTGTTTGGATTTCGGCGAACACCTGCACACCGTGGGCCTGACCCCTATATCACACACAGTCACTGCTTGCTCCATCCGGCCAGTCATCCTGGCACTGCACGTTTCAGGACATCACGACAGTTCAGAGAGCCGGTCTTCCAATCGATTTCGGGGTTGTGCTCGTGTAGCCAACAATCACATCCTCTGGATCGATGTCCATGACCATAAAGACCATTTCCTCCATATGGTCTCCTATCTGCATTTCAAGAACGGCTACCTCCGGGATGCTACCATCTTTGTTGAGGGTGCCATCAATATTGTATAGTGGAATCGGTTCTTTCAACTTCCGCATTTGCACCTTATTCTCGGTAATGAATTGCTTGTTGATAAACTTCATGGTGGCTCTGCTGTCCACCATAGCGATTATATCTTTGTGCCATCTTTTTCCTTTGAGTCAAACTGGGATGTGGAAATGTTGGGACCCATGGTCCACCTCATACACATTCGCAGAAGACAATACATCATACTTGCTACATGAAGTCCTTTGCCCAATGCGTGCAGCACGAAGCGTGGACCAGATCAAAAACCTTCATTGCCTGATAGTGCTCGAGCTCCTCATGCATCAACTTCACCTGTGCCATCAAGTCTGCCAGCTTGGTATTCACTGAAGTGGCACTTGTACTTGCCAAGGGTGAAGTGATGGGGGTGCTTGTCATAGCCCAGGTGGTACCCGAGGCAACTGTAGCCCACGTGTCGGTGTGTTTTGTGTAAGGCTTATTCTTACAGTTGGGACACTCGAAGTGTCGGTACCCTTTCTTCCCACAGCCGAAGCACTCACCGGGGAAATCTCCTTTTCCGACGGCTGCATTAATGCTGGCCGAAGTGCCTTGTTGCCAGGGTGCACCACCATGTGGTCCACTGTGTCCTCGTCCTCGAGCTGAGAAGAAGCTGTTCAACTCAGGCCAATGTGCCTGGCTAATGTTGAGTTGTTGTTTGACTTCAGTGGCGCTCTTGTCAGCATCTTCCCACATGGTGAACATCTCGAGCTCAATCTTTCAGTAGACATGGGAGGGGATGCTGCTCAGGTACTTGTTGCGGAGTTCCAGGTCCTCATACCCAGAACGGTCCGCCGGACCCTTGAACAGCGCAGAAAACTCCGTGGCGGTGCGTTTCTCACACATGGTTTTGTCAGCACAGAGCTTGGCAAGTTCTACCTGTGCTGTGACCTCGTCGTCAAGGTGGCCGAAGCGTGCCCTGAAGGCAGTGGCAAAGGTGGCCTCGTCAGTGAAGGGGGTCGATGCTCCCTGGGTGCCGATTTGTATGGAGACGAGCTGGGCGAAGATCGGAGTGGCCCAGGCTCGCGCGTCGCCATCGAGGAGGCTCAGGGCAACGTGCACTCTGAGCTCGATGGTGGTTAACACAGTGTTTACCTGCCAGTAGATGTGCAACTGGGACAGAAACCGGTTGCACTCGACAACGGTTTTTCCGTCATAGCGGAGGGGGAGGAGGAGTTTTAAAACCTCCTTGTCAATGGGGGCTGGTGTGGCCATTACCGGCGGCGGGGGGGACGGAGGACGGCCCGGGGGCAGAGGCGGTGGTTGTGGCTGTCCGTGGGGCGGACTTCAAGGGGAGCGCGTGCGCGAGCAGCCTCGTGGCAGAGACGGCGGTACAGACGGGGGAGGAAGCCCGGAGGTGGTGTTACGTACGACAGGGACTGGAGGCGTGGAGGGGAGTGTGTCCGGCGATGCGGCCTGACCATGAAGTGTAGGCTCGGGCTCCAAGACTCCTTCTTCACTTGCTTCAGGCTCTGACTCTGACGCAGAGTCATTAGGGAGATCGGGGTCTCCTCCTTCTTGACATGTACCAGCGACAGTTTGAGGGAGGCGCGCACTAGGGGAGATAGGGCGGGATTGCCGAGACACAGATCGGGATGCGTGGGGGCTGCGGGGGCCGAGCGGGTGTTGAGCCCTCCTGATGGCTCGATAATGCCCAGAGTTCTGTTCGATTGATCGAGGCGTGCGATTAGGGCACGGTTTTTGTTCACAGGCAAAGATGAGAGCAGGCGACCCTTCAGTGATGTAGATGAAACATTTGTCTTTCCGTTCTATTCCTTGTACTACTAGCGCCCATACTGGCGCCTGTTTTAGCGCTCACCCGCAGGTTGAACATTATGTAGCTTACATAATGGGGTCCGTGCGCACTTCGTGCCTGGTATCGTACCACTACGTTTCTTTCTTCACTAACACGACCACATAGACACGATGGTCCGTGCGCAGTCGGTACTTGTATAAGTAGTTGTACCATTAGTCGGTCGAACCCTAAGTTCGACCTAGTTATTCATTCAAGTCTCTGCTCCTCTTCGCTTGGGGTAGTGGTCATTCTCGACTTCCTCGCTCGATCTTCAGGACGACGTACTGTCCATAAGTCCTCGCTCGTCGTCTACGAGTCAGGCATCGATATAGGAGTAAAGACCATTGTATCAAAAGGTCGAACTTTCTAAGCTACGTTCCTAGTTTTACCTAGTCGAACATCTCATCCACCATCACGTCGAACAACGCAATCAACCCAGTTCCTTGGGACTACCAGCCCTCGC